CACTCACCTCAGCCTCCCAAAGGCGCGGGATTACAGGCTGAGCCACCGAGCTCGGCTTGAGGATTGTTTTTATATTGAGTGTAACTTCATTAGAAGTTTTCTTTTTTTCTATTTGGGATGTTCGTTCCCACATGAGTCGATGTTTCTATATTCGAAATAATAATAATCTCCTACTGGGGCATTTCTATATTGGATTGCAGTTTCTCTATTGGGGTGCACCTTTAGTACCAGTGTTTCTGCCCTGGGGTGTTTCCATATGGAGGAGTATACATGTTTGTATTGGGTGAAGTCTGTTGCTCCTACTAGTTGCCTTTGCTGAGTCACCGGGAAGGGGGTGGCTGTCATAGATGTCCCCCTTCCCAGCTGGCCTGCCACTGCACTCTGCTAACAGATGGCTCACACTTACGCTGGTCTCTGCTACTTCCTGAGGCGGCTCCAATTATTCTGAGAAGCAGGTGGGTCACAAGTTCCAGGGAGCTGTCACACCTCCCGCCTAGGGGTGAGGACCCTCGCCTTCCCCTTCCACATCAGCTCTCAGCTCCCTCTCACCTCCGCCCAGCCCCCATGCCCGCATTCCCCGGGACCCCTGCAGCTCGGCCTGCTGCCTGGATGCCACAATGCTGGGGTTTCATTCTCTCCGAGTGAGTGCCCTGAGATGCTGTTTGCCCAAGGACTGCAGCCCGCCCTCGCTGAACCTGCTCCCTTCCTAGGGAACCATAAGATTCTTACATGGGTTGGGGGTGAGACAGAGAAGGCTACACGAATACACCTCCAAGAGCATCCTTCCTCGGCCTCCTCTTCCCCTCAGCCCACCCCCATCCCCTCAGCTACTCACGATGACATTGCAGAGCAGGAGAAACAGAGAAATGTCTTTGAGGCACCGGCGTCTCCAGTGGGCCCTGGGGGCCAAGATGACGGCCACTGCTTCCCGAGGGCCTGCTGGGCTGGCGCTAACGAGCCTGGGGGTGGGCGGGCAGGCGGGCAAGGTGTGGAGGGCATCCAGGTTGGCAAAGGTGAGGCCTTGGCAAGGTTCCTTGGGAGGAACATCACGGGGCTCATCCCCGGGTGGTCCCCGGTGGAGGCTCTCGATGACGAACATGTTTTGGAAGGTGTGCTGGGCAATCATGAGCAGGGCGTGGGTGAGGTTGAGTCCCCCCAGCAGGTCCCTGGGTGTGCCCACCACCACGGCTACGATGGAGTAGTAGGAGATGGCATACTGCCCCAGGGCGGCGCCCATCAGTAGGGCCACGTCCAGGGTGCGCGTGGGGTTCTTATGGTGGTCCATGGCTCGGCGGTCAAAGCGGTAGATGACTGAGCCACTGAGGCTGACCAGCGTCATGAGTCCCAGGCAGACAATGTTGAAGCTGTAGTAGATGACCAGGGCCTGCTGGGTGCGGCTCCCATCCCCGCTCACCTGGACCTCGTAGATGATGAAGACAGCCAGCCCCACCACAAGGAGCATCAGGCCCAGGACCGGGCCGGCAAAAAAGGTCTCCCGGAAGAGGCTGACCCGGGCTGGGGTGTGGCCGTGACCGTGGGTGGAGGCCAGGAGTCTGCCCACATTCTTCCACATGACATAGAGCATGGTGGAAGCAAAGAGGCTGTACTCAATGTTGAAGGGGTACAAGTAGAAGTAGCCCTGCTGGAAGATCTGGCAGATGGTCGTGTTGCAGGGGCAGGGGTCGCTTCCGACTGGGCTGCCTGCACGCTCTGCTGTGGAGAGAGGGACACAGGGTTGGACTGCCCTCCTGTCTTCCTAGACACACCTCACCCCTAGCCTGTGACTTTTCTTTTTGAGTTGGAGTCTCACTCTGTCACCCAGACTGGAGTGCAGTGGCCGCTTTCGGCCGCTGCAGCCTCGACCTGCTGGGCTCCTGCGATCCTTCCGCCTCAGCCTTCCAAGTAGCTGGAACTACAGGCGCGTGCTACCACGCCCAGCTAATAGCCTGTGACTTTTGTAAGGGGAAGGTCCTGCCTGCCATGTTGTATCTAAACGCCTTCCCAGGGCCTGGCACATCCGTTCTTTCCACAATTTTTTTTTTTTTGAGTTGGAGTCTCACTCTGTCACCCAGGCTGGAGGGCAGTGGCACGCTCATGGCCACTGCGGCCTCGACCTGCTGGGCTCAGGAGATCCTTCCACCTCAGCCTTCCAAGTAGCTGGAACTATAGGCATGCACCACCATGCCCGGCTAATTTTGTGTTTTATTGTAGAGATGAGGTCTCGCTAAGTTGCCCAGGCTGGTCTCGAACCTGTGGGCTCAGGCAATCCTCTCACCTCGGCCTCCCAGAGTGCTGGGATTATAGGTGTGAGCTACCGTGTCTGGCCCACAGATCTTTCTTGAGCACCTACTTGTGCCAGAGACTGTGGGATACATCTATGCTCACTACAAAACAATCTGAACCACAGAGCTGCTCCCTTCACTCCATCCCATTTCTTTTTTTTTTGAGTTGGAGTCTCACTCTGTCACCCGGACTGGAGTGCAGTGGCCGCTCCCGTCCACCGCAGCCTTGCCTGCTGGGCTCTGGCAATCCTTCCGCCTCAGCCTTCCGAGTAGCCGGAATTACAGGCATGCACCACCACGCCCGGCTGATTTTTTGATTTATTGTAGAGATGAGGTCTCGCTGCCCAGGCGGGTCTCGAACCCGTGGGCTCAGGCAATCCACTCAGCCTCCCCAAGGCGCAGGATGACAGGCTGAGCCACCGAGCCCGGCCATCCCATTTCTTTAATCCCTCTCCACCATGGTTCCCCTGAGATAGAAGGTGGCCCTGTTGGGAACCCCTAAAGTTCAAGCTTCTTCACAGCTCTCCCAGCATCTGACTCAGCCCAGAAAGCCCAGACTCTTCCATGCTGCTGCCCCTAAGTCTCCACCTGTGAGGTCTCCTGTCACTTTGGTTTGCACCACGCCAAAAGGAACTTCGACTGGAATCCAGTGTGCTTTGTAGTATACTCTGGGCCTTGACAAACATCTTTTTTCGTCCTTAGAACAATCCCAACTGGTTTGCAGATGAACAGACTGAGAGGTCACGTGACTTGCAACGGCCAACCCAAAGCAAATCGCCTGACTTCCCACCCCATGGCAGGTGCCTCTCCAGTGACCGTTTCCCCAGCTCCATGGCCTACCATGTTAAGTCCCCAGGTTGGTTTTAAGCATCTTCAGGAGTCCTCTTTGTGTAAGGTGGCCCTTTATCAGTTCTGCCAGGCTGGAGTATCCCTGAGGGCTGGGGCCGTGCTTTCCATTCCCGAACCCTTCCATGCTGGGTGTGCATGTGTGTCTTAGTCACCTCATCTGTTCCTGGCTAGTGGGAGGACCCTATTGAAATCCAGAGAACTGGGACCCGGGACTGTGGCCTCCATTCTTTCTTAGCATATTGGTTAAAAGCAAAGAAGGATATGAATACTAGTGCTTCGATTCTAAACTCTGTGACCTCGGGCAAGCTGCTTAAGCTCTCTGTGCCTTAGTTTCTGCATCTGTAAAATGGGAATGTTAATAGTATCCATCTCACAGGGAAACTGTGAGGGTTAAAAAGAGCATTTAAGGCCAGGCACATTGGCTCAGGCCTATAATCCCAGCACTTTGGGACACCAAGGCGAGAGAATTGCCTGAGCCCAGGGGTTCAAGACCAGCCTGGGCAACGTGGTGAGACCTTGTCTCTACAATAAATAAAAAAATTAGCCAGGCATGGTACCGTGCATCTGTAATTCTGGCTACTTTGAAGTCTGAGGTGGAAGGATTGCCTGAGCTTAGCAGTTCGAGGCTGTGGTGGCTGTGAGTGTGCCACTGCCTCCAGCCTGGCCGATAGAATGAGACTCCAACTTAAAAAAAAAAAAAGAGTATTAGCGGGGTGTGGTAGCGTGCACCTGTGGTTCCAGCTACTTGGAAGGCTGAGGCGGAAGGATCACCGGAGCCCAGCAAGTCGAGGCTGCGGTGGCTGGGAGTGGCCACTGCACTCCAGTCTGGGAGACAGAGTGATACTCCAACTCAAAAAAAAAAAAAAAAAAAAAGCCAGACTCGGTGACTTAGCCTGTAATCCCACACCTTGGAAGGCTGAGGTGAATGGATTACCTGAGCCCGTGGGTTCGAGACCCACCTGGGCAACTTGGCGAGACCTCATCTCTACAATAAATAAAAAACTAGCCGGGCGTGGTCACGTGCACCTGCAGTTCCAGCTCCTTGGAAGGCTGAGGCGGAAGGATCACCGGAGCCCAACAGGCTGAGGCTGCGGTGGCTGGGAGCGGCCCCTGCACTCCAGTCTGGGCGACAGAGTGAGACTCCAACTCAAAAAAAAAGAGTATTTAAGACACTCAGTGCCTGACATATACAGGTCAGTAAGTTGTCACTATTGTCATCATGATGTGATGATTCTTTTTCACCTTCTCCTCCTCCCGGGTCTGCCATTGATCCCACACTTGCACCATAGAACCCTCTGCCTCGCGTCCCCTTTCCCCAGCTTGATCACCCTCGCCCTTTCTTCCTGTGTCTGGGTCCCTTCTTGGTGGGATGGAGGTTAGACAGTGGGGTCAAGCTGAAAACTGAGAAGATGCTCTCCCATGCTCTCCTTCCGGGGCACCTGCACCCATATTCCAGAGGTGGAGCCTGGAGCAGAGAGAGGCCCGTGACTTTTACCTTTGCCTCCATGGTCTCACAAGGGCCCTGGTGACTGATGTTACAAATCCACAAAGCACCCAGCCCAAGGCTTGGCAGCCACAGGGCAGGGTGAAGAAGAAACTCACGGTCAGGGGCAAGGCGGGTGTGGCTGGTGTTGCTGTGAGAACCGCTGTAAGACTGGGCCTGGTGCACGGACTCATCCACCACGGCTGCCATCCAGATGGCCAGGTTGGTGGCGAGTGTGAACATGAGACCACACCTGTTGGGGGGCAAAGGAGCCAGTGAGTCTTTGGCTCATTGTGGGTCCCTGGCGAGGTGGAGGGTTGGGGAGTGATACTGAGAGATGGTGCTGAGAAACGAGAAAGCAGCCAGGCCCTGTGCTCACAGGGTAGCTGAGTGTGGAAGGAACACTGAGCCTGGCTGGGATGTCACCCAAGAGAGGGCCAGGGGGTGACCAGGGGAAAGGGTACAGCACAGGGTTGTGGGAGTCTGGTTGACAAAGCAAGGGAACCTTGGCTGAAACCCGGCCAGGGAGCAGAAAGAGGACCCATGCCCCAGGTTGGAGAGCCCTCATCTCTCATGCAAGCTGGGCACTGACACCCTGGGCAGAGTGTTCTCACCGGGTCAGATCCAGGTGGACGTGGATACAATCTTTAGCGGAGACCCAAAGAAAGTAAGTCTGTGTTGAGAGAGAATGTGGTGGTCACTTACTTCATATATGGGCCAAACTCCAGAGTCTCCATGTCCAAGCCCAGTGTTCTCTCCAGCCTAAAGCCCTTATATACCAAGTTATCAAGTTCATTTTCATTTTACAGAAAGAGACAGGGAGAATGCCTCTTCTATTCTATGACACAGCTACATAAAATAGTGGCTCTCTGTTTTTTAAAGGTTTGCAAATGCCACCTATAAAACTCTCTGGTCTTGGTGGGTTTTTTCCCTGTGGGGTGGGGCCAAGTAGATTTTTGACTACCTAGTTATTTATTCCTGGGGGCAAGACCAGCTTCAGGCTAAGTCTTGCTCACGGTAGAAAGATTTTCTGGTAGTTCCTCGCCTCCCTTTGACAACATTCTCTGCTCGTCCTCTTCCCTTGTCATCCTGTAAGGCCTTACTCTACTACTTCCTACTTCCTGAACAAATACAGCACATGGGGACCAAGGCTGAAGACCAAGCCAGTCATGACCACAGCAGGACCCTGGGCTGACACTGATGCCCTCTGTGGGCACCCAAGGGCAGACCAGGTCCTAAAAGACAAGGCCAGCTGTCACAACTCTCACCTCCTAGGTGTTAACCATTGTCAACTGCTTAGGTTGAAATAAAATTGCAGAGCTCTAAGTAGGAGTTCACATTTGGATATTAATTCATTAAGATGTGTTTCCACATTTATGGACTCATGTGGTCCTCTCTGCAGTCCCATCCTCAGTTTACTTAATTGTTCAGGGTAGGAGAGGGGAGAGGGCGTAAGCTCAGGTCTCTGACCCCTCACCAAGTGCTGGCTCCTTCCCGGCACTCCTCCCACCCACCTGGAGGATGACAAACACAGCCTGGATGAGGGGGTGCAGGATCTTGATGGCTGACTGGCATTCAAAGAAACTGGAGTAGTAGCCGGTCTTGAAGACATCCATGATGAGAGTGCAGATCCCAAACAGCACCAGCCCACCTGGGGACCAGGGGCAGGCAAAGGATCAGAGAGGCAGGAGGGAGGGCTTGGAGAGCTGAGGACAGGACCTGAGGATGGGGTGCTAGCTGGGTGGGTAGATGGTGGATAGGTGGATGGATGGATGGATGGATGGATGGGTAGATGGGTGAATGAGTGGATGGGTGGGCGAGTGGGTGGATGGATGGATGGGTGAGTGGGTGGGTGGCTGCAGGGTTGGAAGGACCAATGAGGAGGGT